TTTGTATGTATGTATGTATTTACTTTAAGATTTATTTATTTATTTATTTGACAGAGAGAGAGAGACAAGCAAGAGAGGGAACACAAGCAGGGGTAGTGGGAGAGGGAGAAGCAGGCTTCCTGCGGAGCAGGGAGCCTGATGCAGGGCTCGATCCCAGGACCCTGGGATCATGACCTGAGCCGAAGGCAGATGCTTAACGACTGAGCCACTCAGGCACCCCTATCTTTTGTATTTAGATGTGTAATCCATTTTGAGTTAATTTTTATATATAGTGTGAGGTAAGGGTTGAGGATAATTTTTCTCATGGATGTACAGTTGTTGTAACACTATTTGTTGAAAATCCTGTCCTTGTTGAAAATCAATGTGTGGATCTATTTCTGAATTTTCTGTTATGTTCCATGAAACAAGCTTGTTGGGATTTTGATTGGGACTGTGTTGATTCTATAAATCAGTTTGGGTAGATTGATGCCTTATTTTCTGAATTAGTTCAGCATTAATTTTTTCTTAATTTTTTGATAGAATTCACCAGTGATGAATGTCAGATAGTTTTGGGATTTTCTTTAAGGAAAAGTTTTTTTTTTTTTTTTTTTAAGATTTTATGTATTTATTTGACAGAGAGAGATAGCGAGAGAGGGAACACAAATAGGGTGAGTGGGAGAGGGAGAAGCAGGCTTCCCACAGAGCAGGGAGCCCGATGTGGGGCTCGATCCCTGGACCCTGGGATCATGACCTGAGCCGAAGGCAGACGCTTAACGACTGAGCCACCCAGGTGCCCCAAGGAAAAGTTTTTTAAATCACAAATTTAATTTCTTTACTAGATATAAGACTATTCAGTTTTTCTGTTTCTTATGTCATTTTTCATAATTTGTGTTGTTTCATTAACTTTGTTTTGTTTCAACGTAATCAGTGTTTCAGTCCTCTTTTCTTTGTTGTTCCCCAAAGGATCCTTTTTAGATACTTTTTTTTTTCCTAACCATCTGTCCCCATGAAATTTTAATACCACAGATAATGCTATAGATCCCATTTATGTACTGATTGTATATCTGTGTGTGTTTTGTTTTGTTGTTGTTTTTTTAAAGTAGGTTCCATGCCCATTGTGGAGCCCAGTGCAGAGCTTGAACTCAAGACCCTGAGATTGAGACCTGAGTTAAAATCAAGAATCAGACACTAAACCAGCTGAGCCACCCAGGCGCCCTTGTAGATCTGTGTTTTATAAATAAGGGCGCCTGGGTGGCTCAGTTGGTTGAGTGACTGCCTTCGGCTCAGGTCATGATCCTGGAGTCCCGGGATCGAGTCCCGCATCGGGCTCCCTGCTCAGCAGGGAGTCTGCTTCTCCCTCTGACCCTCTTCCCTCTCGTGCCCTCTATCTCTCATTCTCTCTCTCTCTCAAATAAATAAATAAAATCTTTAAAAAAAATAAGAGAATAAGATATTTTTGACCTCCAAGAACCAAGTTTTGTCCATTTGGAGATGATGTCACCCCTTTTGAGAATGCATGATCCAAGTTGTCAGATTTGTTGATATATAATTGTCCACAGTATTCCTTGTTTTCTTTTCATGATTGTAGAATCTGTAGTATATATTTCTTGTGTTATTCATTATATTGTTAATTTGTGTTTTCTCTTCCTTTTTTCCTTGATCTAGTTACATTTTTATAAATTTTGATTTTTTCATAGAACCAATTTTTTGCTGCTTTAATTTTTTTTCTTTTGTATGGCATCTTCTGTTTTGTTGATTTCTGTTCTTTATATTTCTATTTACTTTGGGTTAATTTCACTGTTCATTTTCTAGTTTCTTAAAGTGTGAAGCTTGTATCATTGATTTTAAACTTTTTTTCTTGTCTTTTTTTAAAGATTTATTTATTTTAGAGAGAGAGCAGGGGGAGGGGCAGAGGAAGAGAGAGAGAAACTCAAGTAGACTGCATGCTGAGCACAAGCCCGATGTGGGGCTTGATCCCAGGCCCCGAGATCATGACCTGAGCTGAAATCAAGTTAGCCGCTGAACTGACTGAGCCACCCAGGTGCCCCTAAACTTTTTTCTTTTCTGATATGATAATGAGGGATGCCTGGGTGGCTCAGTTGTTAAGTGTCTGCCTTTGGCACAGGTCATGGTCGCAGGGTCCTGGAATCAAGCCCCACGTCAGGCTTTCAGTGGGGAGCCTACTTCTCCTTCTCTCCCTGCTTGTGTTCCGTCTCTGTCAAATTTTAAATTTTTTTTTAAATTTTATTTATTTTTGAGAGAGAGAGAATGACAGAGAGAGAGAATGAGAGGGGTGAGGGTCAGAGGGAGAAGCAGACTCCCCGCTAAGCAGGGAGCCCGATGTGGGACTCGATCCCAGGACTCGAGGATCATGACCTGAGCCGAAGGCAGTCGCGTAACCAACTGAGCCACCCAGGCGCCCTCTGTCAAATTTTAAAAAAATAATATGACCATGAAAAGCTATACATGTTTCTATAAATATTGTGTTAGGTGCATCCCACAAATCTTGATATGTTTTCATTCTCATTAAGGTCATTTCATATTCAGTAGGGTGAGTTTTTATGTTTGGATTCAGTTTTAAGGATCCCTCATTCTTATGATTTTATTTTACTTTAAAAAAGTTTAATGTTTACTCAACTTTATAAGTCAAAGAGATATAAAAAGATATAGTCACAGAAGTGTCACTCTCTCCCTTATCCCTTCTGCCTTGTTCCCAACCACCTGTAGGTAACCACTTGGATTAGTTTCTAATTTATACTTCCTGTGTCGCTCTGCAAACATAAACAGGTATATCATATATTTTCTTACTTCTCCTTTATTACACAAAAAGTAGCATACTATATATAACTCTTTTAATTATATATAGTATATGCTTTTTTCTAATTAATATTATGTCCCTGAAATTGTTCTATTCCTGGTCCATAGATATTTTCCTTATTCTTTTTTTACAATTATATGTATGCATATCAGAGTTTATTCAAGCAGTGTCCTATGTTAGTCATTAAGTAGATTCCAGTGTTTTGCATATTTAAACAGGGCTGCAATGAAAAATGTAGTGCATATTTGCTTTTTGTTTTTGGAAGTATATCGCTAGAGTGAATTGATAGAATTGGAATTGCTGGATCACATATGTAGTTTGTTAGGTATCAGAATCCTCTCCACAGGCATTATACAAAATGGTGATGTTCTAATTGTCATTTGTTTTACATTTATTAGATGGAATAATTCTTTAAAGAGAAACTTCTCTTCATCTATTTGGTTATTCTGTAATGTAGCTTGTATTGGAAGAGTAGGACACAAGCTTGACTCTTTTTTATTTACCAGTTGATCCACCAAATACCATATGATCTCACTCATATGTGGAATTTAAGAAGGGGCGCCTGGGTGGCTCAGATGGCTGGGCATCTGCCTTTGGCTCGGGTCGTGATCCCGGGGTTCTGGGATTGAGTCCCGCATTGGGCTCTCTGCTGGGCGGGGAGCGTGCTTCTCCCTCTGCCTCTGCCTCTCTCTCTCTCTCTCTCTCTCTCTCTCTGACTCTCATGAATAAATAAATAAAACATTAAAAAAAAAAAGAAAACATGAACATATGGGAAGGGGGAAGAGACAGAGAGAGGGCGACAAGCCATAAGAGACTCTTAACGATTGAGAACAAACTGAGGGTTGATGGAGGGAAGTGGGTAGGGGATGGGCTAGATGGGTGATGGTTATTAAGGAGGGCACTTGTTATGATGAGCAGTGAGTGTTATATGTAAGTGATGAATTGCTGAATTCTACTCCAGAAACTAATATTGCACTGTTAACTACCTGAAATTTAAATTTAAGAAAAACACTTGAAAAAAACAAAAAACAAAATAGTTGATACACTAACATTCTTCAGCAGTGACCAGTTAGTTGTGTGTTTTTTTTTTTTTTTTTGAAGATTTTATTTTTAAGTAATCTCTACACAAAGTATGGGGCTTGAACTCAGGCCCACTGACCCAAGATCAAGAGTCACATGCTCCATTGACTGAGCCAGCCAGGCACCCCAGTTCTATTTTTCTTTTTTTTTAAAGTGTCCTTATGAACTCATAAATTTAAACATATTTGATGTCTTAATTCATTGCAGTCATTTTTTTTTTTTTAAGATTTTATTTATTTGACAGAGAGACACAGCGAGAGAGAGAACACAAGCCGGGGGAGTGGGAAAGCAGGCTTCTCACGGAGCAGGGAGCCCAACGTGGGGCTCCATCCCAGGACCCTGGGATTGTGACCTGAGCTGAAGGCAGATGCTTAACGACTGAGCCACCCAGGGGCCCCATCAGTGCAGTCATTTTCTTACTGATACTCCAGTTGTTCCATTTTTGGCCAGTGAGAACCTTTTAAAGTTGGCTACTAGGTTCTTTTGATATAGCCCTAGTAGTGTCTGATGGATACTTTGCTCACAACAGATATTCTAGCTCATCTTCTACATTTCATGCTCCAGACTTGGAATCAGCCACTGTACTTTTATATCAGCCATGGTACCTTTCTCCAAGGTACCCCAGTTGTCTTTAATGGGAAATAGTGTTTGAAGATTACATTCTCGTCATTAGGGATGTTCTTTTCTGCTGGGTGAATCAGAGGATTCTGAAGAATAAAATTCTTCTGGTTAAGTGTTGAGCACAAAGCAATGTGATATGTAGCAAAAAGCCCTGGAATGGGAGCCAATTCCTCTCTTTATTCATTTATCAAGTATTTATTGAGTATCAGGTGCCAGACACTCTTTTATACATAGGAGATGATAACAGTGAACAAAATAGGCAAAAACTCTGCCTTTATGGGAGTTTACAGTCTAGCTAACTCAGGATACTTATTGAAACAACTGTTACTTATCTTGGCCAACACCTTACCTTTGGGTCTTTCCTCATTTATAAGATTATAAAATTGTACTAAATGGTCTGTAGTGTTTTCATTTGAAAGGTTTAAAAATTTCTGTTTCTTGCTTCCATGCTTATTCAATATTTGTGGTGTTCCTCTCCTCTCTTTTTCTTATCCTCTTACAGAAATGACAGAAGAGGAGCAGTTTGCTCTGGCTCTCAAAATGAGTGAGCAGGAAGCTAGGGAGATGAACAGCCAGGAGGAGGAAGAAGAGGAGCTCTTGAGGAAAGCCATTGCAGAAAGCCTGAATGTAAATATGCTATGTTGAAAAAGTTTGTGAGGATTGATTAGCATGATATATATTTTTATTGCTTCTGCAGTGTTACAGTTGCATTAAGAACTAGCTGTAGTAGTTCATAGGGTTTTAAACTAACAAATATTTCCCATAATAATTTTTAAAGTGCTTGTCGAATTGTTGAACGCAATTTGAAGTGTTAATTTTATATGAAAGAGTTTTCTTCCACCCCATAGATTTTCAATACATGGTTTAAGAGAGCTAAGTAGTTGGCAGCTTCTGAAAAGAGTTACCAAGTCCCAAAAAAACCAAAAGGGAGCAAGATAAGGCACTTACCTCCCCTGTTTTGGGGGAGAACAAAGGCAATGAGAAACTAGAGGTGGGTTATGGAAAAAAGAATGAGCAGTTAAACATTTTTCAAATAATTTAAATTGTAATATGAATATGTTTTGTTGAAATTATTTTAAAAGTGAAGGATATTTGCCAGTGTCAGGTCCTGAGTCATCCTTTATGTCATTCATGTCTCTATATTAGAAAAGGTCTTAGTATAGTGATCTACTATAGCATTTTGCACATAGTAGGCATTTGGTACACATTGTGGAAGTTATTTGATTTGAGCATCTACGTTTTGGAAAGAATCTCTTAGGGGACAGTGGCCTCCCTGTTTTGTCCTTCCTGTGACCCTTCATGTATAGCTGTTTTAATAATAAACCTGGTCTGGTGTGGGATCACTTGTTTCAGAGTTGCCGGCCTTCTGATGCTTCTGCTACCAGATCTCGACCTCTGGCCACTGGACCATCTTCACAGTCCCACCAAGAGAAAACCACAGACTCTGGGACCACAGAAGGCATGTCTCCCTGTTCTGACTCCTTCCACTCATCAAGTATAACTATATCACAGGGATCTCATGCTGAGAGTAGATATACAGAAATGCCCCAAATCCCTTTGGTGGTATTAAAGAGGTTAAATCCGAAAAATAGTTGAGATCTCACTAATATCCAGCATATTTTTATCTCCAAGGAAAAGTCAACATTTGGTTAAACACAAAGAAGAGCCTTTTACCCACATTATGTAATTCTTGGTAAGTGATAACTTACCAAGCCCTCTTAATAAAGAACAGTTTGTCCTTAGCCCTACTTTTTCTCAAATACCTACAGGCATATGGCAGCTGGTACCTCCATCACTGTTTAAAGGCTCACATGTCAGTCAGGGAAACGAGGCTGAGGAAAGAGAGGAGCCTTGGGACCACACTGAAAACACTGAAGAGGAGCCGGTCTTTGGCAGCTCAGGAAGCTGGGATCAGTCAAGCCAGCCAGTGTTTGAGAATGAGAACGTTAAATGTTTTGACAGATGTACTGGCCACTTGGCTGAGCACACACAGTGTGGGAAGCCACAGGAAAGTACTGGGAGGGGTTGTGTTTTTCACAAAGCTGCCCAGGGTAGGGGGGACACATCTAGGCACTCTCTGCCTACCCCAGCAGATGCCACAGGTCTCCAGGATGTTGGGGGCACTGTGCACTACTTCTGGGGTATTCCATTCTGCCCTGCTGGAGTAGATCCTAACCAATATACCAAGGTCATTCTCTGCCAGTTGGAGGTTTATCAAAAGAGCCTAAAAATGGCTCAGAGGCAGCTCTTTAAAAAAAAAGGTTTTGGGGAACCAGTGTTACCTAGACCTCCTTCTCTGATCCAGAATGAATGTGGCCAAGGAGATCAGGCTAGTGAAAAAAATGAAGGCATCTCAGAAGATATGGGAGATGAAGACAAAGAGGAGAGGCAGGAATCTAGGGCATCTGTCTGGCACTCAAAAACCAAGGATTTCCAAGAAAGCCCAATTAAAAGCTTGAAAGAGAAACTTTTGTTGGAGGAAGAACCAACAACCAGTCATGGTCAGGTAAGGGTCAGTGATGCTGTGATTAAGGATGATTTATTCACAGTTTAAACAAGGATTATTATAGCTATTTGTTCTTTTTTGTGGTCTTTTTTTCTGATTTTTAAAGTAACACGTGCTCACTATGGAAAATTAGGAAAGTACAGAAGAGTGTAAAGAAGAAAAAAATTACCCATAATCTCAGCACCAAGGGCAATCATCATTATTTCTATGCATTTAAAAATATTTTTTCTTTTAAATTTTTCAACGAAACGAAGACTCTTCTGTATAAGCTGTTTCTTTTTCCCACTTAATAGTTTATGTTAGATCTTTTCCTGTTTATTAAGTATACTTGAAAACATTATTCTATCACATGGATGTATCATAATTTATTTTTTATGTTTTAAAATTTTTATTATTTCTAAAAAGTTTTTGAATAGGTACTAATATTCATGTGCCCCATAAATCAGAAAGATGTTAATGAAAAGTCTGTCTCCTATCCCCTCCCAAGCCAACTAGTCCCTTCCCTGAAGTCAACCTATATCACTGGTTTCTAGTGTATCCTTATAAGATATATTTTATGTGGTACAAGCAAATGTGTATACATACTCTTTTCCTTACCTTTTTTTACACAAATGATCGCATAATCTATACATTATTCGGTACCTTGCTTTTTTTCATTGAAATACTTGAGATCATTCCATAACATACATACATAAAGAATTTCTTCCTTTTTTTGGATGTGTAATATATGGTGTATGAATGAGTTTATTTTGTCCAGTACCCCTAATGGTGGACTTTTCGGTGGTTTCTAATATTTTACTATTACAAGCACTACTGTACTGATTACTCTTGTATGAAGATGTTTCATCCACATGAGAGATATTTGCATAATTTCTTGTAGATGTAATTGGTGGATCAAAGGATATATGCATTTACAATTTTGTTACTGTTGCCAAATTGCCTTCCATAGAGGTTGTATAAATTTACACTCATAACTGTATGAGTACCAGCTTCCCCCTACCCATTCCAAATCAGTACCATCAGGACTTTCTCATCTTTGCCAATCTGAGGAATGAAAAATACTCTCTCAATACAGTCTTAATTTGCATCTCTCTTATTGTGTGTGCAGTTGAAACCCATTTATATTTCCTTTTCTGTCTGTTTAGGTCTTATGGGCATTTTTCTTTTTCAACAATCTTTTTCTAAGTGGTTTCTAGGTATCCTTTATATATTAGGGGAAGTGGTCCTTTTTGATACAAAGAGTAGATAGTTTTCCAGTGTATTTTTTCCCCCACATGATGGTATATTTCTGATTTTGCTTGTGATGGTTTTCTGTAATTTACCAAAAAACAGTCCCCTGTCTGGGAACATTTAGGTTGTCTTTTCAGTTTTTTTCTGATGTATCTTTTTTTTTTTAAGATTTTATTTATTTATTTGAGAGAGAGAGAGGAGGGGGGTCAGAGGGAGAAGCAGATTCCCCGCCAAGCATGGAGGCCGATGTGGGACTCGATCCTGGGACTCCAGGATCGTGACCTGAGCTGAAGGCAGTCGCCCAGCCGAGCCACCCAGGCACCCCTTTTCTGACATATCTAGATTGTACTATATCAAAGCTTATGTTCTGTTTTTTTCTCTGGGTATTATAAAAGCAAAATCATATAATTACAAACTGTGTAAACTATAAAGAGTATTCTGTTTTATGACTATACTGTTCTTTGTTGCTATTTCTGTTTTTGGGCTGAGCTTTTGGTTTTGTTTTGCTGTTATTTTATTCTTTCTATTATGATAAGGGTTCAACAAATGGTAGCTATGAGAAATGCCACAGCATAGTGTAGGGAGCATAGGTTTGGAGTTTGAATTTTGACTTTTGTATATGTCTTTGAGCAAGCCATTTAACCTCTCTGAGTCTCAGTTTTTACATCTGTAAAGTGGGAATAGCAATTCATGGCTTACGGTAGTTTTAATGATTAAAGTGAATTATGTAAAATGTCTAGTGTGATGCTTAGGAGATTATAGGCACTCGATAAATGATAGTTCTCTCTAAGGGATCAGAAGGCCATCCATTGAGGGTACCTATGGGAATCATTCTTCCTCAGCAGCCATATTCATCCACATTCTGGAAAGACTGCTATATGGGAAGAAAAAGCATTTTTCTTAACAATTCTTCTAGTGACTTTTTTCCAAAGGAAAGTTAGGTTGTGCTTATGATAACATGTTTTATTTGTTAGTTTTTTGCAACTCAGGGATACTTCCACTTAAGAGAATAAATTAACTCTAAAGAATGAACATTTATTTATTGTATTTGTTGACCGATTTATTATAATTCAGTTTGTTAGCTTGAAAATCCCAGGGAACAGAGTTGTAGACCATAGACTTGTATCAAGTTCTGATGTTTGAAAGCAGTGCCTTTGGAATAGCCTGGAAGTGTTCAGAATCTAATGGCTGGCCCTATAAAAATTGAAGTTCTCTAACTTCCCTGAACTGGTCATCAAATACTATAGATAGTATTATTGATTGGTACTATTTGGCCACAACCCATCAAATCAAGCTAGTTTAATTAAAAAGAGAACTTTATCATAAGGAAACAGGGTGCCTCATAAATTCTAAAACAGGATGGTAACCAAGCCTGGACAAGGTACAAGGTCTAGAATATCATCTGTAATTTTTCTACATCTCATTGCTATATTGTATCTGCTTCATTTTTCTCCCCTGTGTATTGGCTTCATTTGCTTCCCTTTCACAGTGGTAGGTAGAAGACACTGATCTTACAGCTCCCAAACTTAACTACAGGTTAAAGGAGATTTATTCTTTCTCAATACCAATTTCAGATTTCTAGGAAAGGACTTAACGGCCCTTTTGGGGTTAGTAGCCTTCACCAGCCCAGTTGACTGTGGCCTAAAGTGGGGTCTGTGTCAAATTGTACAAATGTCTGAGTCCACTGCTATAATACAGTGGGAGGGGTGACATACTGGCCTCAGTAAAAGGAGACCAGGCAGACAACCTAGTAAGTATCCAGTATCGTCATTGTCATTAACATTAATTTTAGAAATCAGTTAGAACTGTTGAAAAATGCTGAAAAGTTTAAAGAATAAAGTTGAAAGCATTCACAATCCTGTTATCCAGTGATATATATTCCTTCATCTTATCTTCTATACCAATTTGGTATGGTTTCTATCATATTTTTGTATTTTTAAGTTAACATTATGTAAACATTTTCTTATAAAATTATTTATAGATTTCACTTTTAATGACTATATAATATTCTGGCTTATGAACTTATCCATAATATTTTAACCCTTTTCCTATTGTTAGATATTTTGGTTGTGATAAACATCTTTTTTAAATAAAACGTTGTTTTATTTAAAATTAGTTCCTTAGGGGAGCCTGGCTGGCTCAGTTGATGGAATGTGCGACTCTTGATCTCAGGGTTGTTGTGAGTTCAAGCCCCATGTTGGGTGTGGAGATTACTTAAAATCTTAAAAAAAGTTAATAGTATTTTTGGAGATAGGGAGCAAGAAAAATTCTGGATTAAAGAGCTATGAACATAAAAAAAAAAACTTGCTATTTATTGCCAAATTGCATTTCAGAAAGGTTGCTCAGATGTGTACTCCTTCCTTTTAGCAATGTATGAGAATGCCTAGTTCACTGCAGTCTTGGCAACACAGAATAGTGTCTTTACAAAAAACAAAACAAACTTAACTAATATTACAGTCAAATAATGAAAGTCTACAATTGTAATTTCACCACTTATATTGGTCTTTTGCTTTCAGGAATTGTGGTAGAAAGAATTTCTGTGTTTATTAAACATTTTCTATTGATTATGACTTTGCTGGAGCTGCCCATATATATATGTGAGACTCCTTGGTTGAGAGAGAGAGTGAAAGGTTCCCAGAACTAGGGACTTAGACAAACATTCACCTTGGGGCAAATCACTTTAAGTATATATGAAGGTTATAAAAGCCTTAGAATCATATAACTAATTTCTGGCATCACACAAACAATGTAGAGGTTATGTTAATGAAGATGGAGAGGTCATCTTGATGGCTATACAGCAGGGAAGTGGAGGAGTAGCATATTGACGTGGTCTCTACTTTTCAGGGTCTAATCTTTAATTTTTCAGCCCAGATACTGGAATTTGTTTTTCTCAAATGGCCAGATTCAGGGGCGGGGGGTGAGAACTGACTTTGACTAGTCAAACTTAAAGCTGATATGTACACCAAATGACAGTTTGTTAAGTTATTATGGGATATAGACATTTTTGGTGACCAGAATATTCAGGTCCACCATCTACTGTACCTCCTTGTAGGATGAAGGTACCTAGAGGGCTGAAAACGGTAATTAGGGAATGGTAATATTTAAGGGATGATTCATCTAGTCTGTGGAAAGACCGATAAGCTACCTAGTACCTGATAATAGAGGACTTTTGTCTGGTGACCAGATAATGTGTCTGTTTATTTTTACTTCCCAGGCTACGGTGTTGAAGATACTGCTTGATCCTGAATCTTTGGATTTTTCTTTTTTAGATTCATTGCAGACTATCATCCCTTTTTCATTAACATGTTATTTCTTTAGGCAGAATGCAATGTCTTGATTTAGGCCACAGCTTCCTTAGTTTAAGTTATATTCCTATCATGCGTCCCTGTTCAACTTGATTAGATGTGGATATTCTAATAAAATTTTGTTTGCTTAATTTGTTATGTTATTTTCATATTCTGGAAGAACCTCACTTTACTCCTATGTTTAGATTGCAGTCATTGAGGTGTAAGTTTAAAAATTAGAAATGATTTACTGAAATGAAGACATTCTTGGGATTCTATGTTGAAATGGTTGTAAGAAGATTATTTGAGTAAACAACAACAGTAGTGGTTAGAACATGGATTTTGGAGTCAGATCCCAGCTCCACTTTTGACCAACTCTGTAATTTTGGGCAAATTATTTAACCCGTCAAAGTTTCACTTTCCTCACGTCCAAAAAACCTTAATAGTTTCTGCCTCAAAAGGTTCTTGTGAGGATTAAAGGAGAAAATGCATTGTAAAGTGATTTGCATAAAGGCTTGGCACTTAATAGGTGTACAGTAATTAAAAAAAAAATAACACCAAGAAAGGTAAAGGTGTGCTTTAGCCAAAGGTAGAGATGGAGTATCTTATAACTCACCATTGCATTGATTGCTTCTGAAGCCCAAGTTTAGTCAACTGTAGTTATTCCAAGATGGTAAAATCTATTAAATGGGCACTAGGTGTCAGTATCTACTTTTTTGATAGCTCAGTAATGAAACTTTTGTCACTGCAGAGTTCACACAAATAGGTGACGTATTTATTGGTGTTGTATTTTAGTCCTTTTGACAGTTTTGTTCAACCCTCATTTTTCATAATGACTGCATTCCTGATCATTGCACAGCTTTATCTTCCCTCTGAATGAAGGCTCATCTCAGCTATTTCTGATTTTAGTATATTTTATCATTTGCCTGAGTGGTACAGAGATGCCTAACTCATTTAGGTTATTTATATCCTGTTAGGAGACCCTGAAAACTTCAGCTAGTAGCTTTCTTCCTATTGGAAGAAGCCTCACAGCTCAGGCACTTCTTATAAGTTTCCCTAAGGCAGCAGTAGCTGCTTTTTCTGTGCACCTACATTTAATGAGCTGACATTTGCACCAACTTTACTGTTAATCGTAGAAAATCTTTTTTTTAAATCTAGTCCCTATTTGTTACATTTCTTAAAAGATATCCCTGTAGCCAGATACTAAAATCATAGTGGCAGATTTGTAGCAAAGGGAGTCTTAAAACCTTCCCTTTGGGATGTTCTGTGTTATGGCTTGGTTTGTGTTCAGAGAGACTTCTTTCACAGATTGCAGTGTTTTTCCCCCTCGAATATTTCCATTGAAAACTGGGCTTTTCTCTGTATTTCCTCCTTCCACAACAAAACTTTATAGTTGCTTTTTTGAAATCATAATTCATTTGACTCACCAGTTAATATTTTTGTGTCTTGCATTTTACAAAGTACATCACATATATTATCTTTTTAAATTCTCACAATAACAGTCTGTGAGGCAGTCATTAATAACCATTTTAAGATGAGGAAACAGATTGAGATGTGACACCCTAGATTACAGAGTTAATGGGTGATCCAGCTGTGATGTAAATCTCACTCTTCTAGACTCCACAGGATATGCTTTTTTTACTGAAACTTACTGACTTATGTAAAATGTTTTATTCTTATTGCTAATTGCTGAGTGATAATGCTGAGCAATTAACTTTTTTTTTAAAGAGGAGAAACCAGTTCATCTGTGCCTGTATACTTAGGATGTTATATTTCTTTACAGTCTTCCCAAGGGCTATTTGTCGAAGAAACTTCTGAAGAAGGAAACTCTGTACCTGCCTCACAAAGGTAAGATTATAAATTGTTAGGGGTCTGAATTCCCTGACGGTGCCAGAGTAAGAGAGATGAAACACATGAGTGAGACTACAGGGACAGCTTGCCAGGGATCTTTTAGCTCCTTTATAAGCACAGACTAAGAAAAATCATTATCTTCCAGTTCTCAAATATGTATCTCATAGAAGCCTGGAATATTAGAGTGGAAGAAATTGTAGAAGGTGGTGGTGGTGTTGTTGGTATAGTACAGCCATCTTGGCACATATCCCATTGATACCATTCCTGAAAGTGTTTAGATCCTGCTACTCTCTTAACCTAGCTTCCTGTGCCAAGCTAAAGGCTCTGGACTAGTTTCTTTACAGTCCTTCTAGTTCTCCTGTCTCCTTTTATTCCCACTGCTTATGCTTATTTTATATGCATGTCCAAATTGTATACATCTTTTAAGTCTACTCTTAAGACTTATATTTTTTATTATTCATATTATTCAGGTCACAAAGAACATGGGTCACCCTCACTCCCTGTCTTATGCCGCTTTTAATCTGATTATATCTTATTTTTCCCTTAAATTGTACTTGCATTGCCTCCTAAATTATTCTTGCTGACTGATTGATGGGGTTACCTTCTTAGGTCTTCTCGCTTAATAATATATAGTGGCTGATTGATTACAAACTGCACTTATCAACTGGATTGAATTTTTAATTTTCCCTTTTATCTGGTAGTTGACCTTTGGGGATTACTCAAGGGCTTAATTTTGTGTCAATTTTGTGTCAACCTCCATCTCTCATATGGAAGTTGAGGTCCAATTACCATTTGCTGTAATTTGGTGGTGCTTCTTAGGGTTTTGGTTAAGTTGAAAGTACTAGGTATTTCCTTCTGAGTTCAAGAATATGGTTTTGGTTTGATTCTCCTGCTGTTAAGACGATTTTGGAAGTGGTTTTAACTGGAATAGGCCTTTTGCTTCTTCCAGGCCCCTCTGCTTTGTTGTGGTAAGCCTCTGCAGAGCAGATACAAGTTTTAATAAATGATTACATGCTTTGTCACCAGGAGAGAGTTGGAATTGCAGGCAATGTGGTTTGACTTCAAATTGATTAGCCCATTTTATAAATGTCAGCAAATTGTTTTGTGATGGACCCTTTGAACAGAGCCCTAATGTTACATGCAGAGTAAACTGTGTCTGGCTTGGATTTACAAAAAATGTTATGAGATGTTTTATTTAGAGAGAGAAATCACCTGTGGTTTCCTATCAGGACTTAGTTATTTATCATGAATCGGTGATGGTTAGTCTCTCTTCTCTGTGGTTCTTGGTTGATGTAAGATTTTATTTTTTAAGCATCCTTTTGCATACTTGATCAGACTAGTCATAAAGCTCTGTGAAGCATGAGGGGGTAGCTCAGATGCTCAGATCTCTCAGCCATGTGTTCCTGTGTCAGGAAGAGATTGCACTCCATGAACAGGCAGGGTAAACTCTGGAAGGCTGGATGATGGGAGCAGTTCATAATTATATTACTCTCAGAAGAGATATTTAACTTGTGTGAGCAGGTTTTGCTGCAGGGCAATTTGGAATTGTATCTTTTTGTTGCTTGGAAAGCCACATCTTGAGATAAAGAGGAAATTTAACTGCAAGGTGAGGGAAAAGTGAGTGTGTTGTCAAGAGACTCTCCATATTTTCTCTTACGAGTTTACAGATCTCTAACCTTCAGAAGGCTGAGATGGAGGCTATAAAACACCACTGATACTCTTTTTTTTTTCCTCTAAAGGTGTATTTATTTATTTGAGAGAGAGAAAGAGCATGCTTCAGTGTGTGCACAGGGAGAGGGGCAGAGTGAGAGAATCTTTAAGCAGAGACTCCCTGCTGAGGGGGGAGCCCAGTACAGGGCTCAGTCCCACAACCCATGAGATCATGACCTGAGCCAAAACCAAGAGTCAGATGCCTAACCTAGTTAGCCACGTAGGTGCCCCCTGTTGACATTCTTATATGGGGAGTTTTTGTCTTCTAGGGTATTCACAGATAGTCCTTACCCTTCAACTTTCCTTTGTAAAGACTCAAAAAGGGGGTCTTTTGGTTCAGTGATTTCACTGGAACCAGAGTTGTAAGCATGTTTATTTTCCCCATTTCTGGCCTGGAGTTTTCACTACCAATTCCTTGCTTCCCTGTTGTGCTTTTGTGGTATTGGACAGCAGGTGTTGGATTACCTGTGGCTTTGTAAATGACTCACCATTGCTTTTGGCCCTGTGTTCTGATTTATTATACTGGGATTCACTTGCGGTTTGGTTCTTTTTCAGCATTGCTGCTTTGACCAGTAAGAGAAGCTCTGTCCTTATGCCAGAGAGTTCTGCAGAGGAAATCACTGTGTGTCCTGGTAAGCACCCCACTGATCGTACTGAAGTTCTGATCCCTAGCTATCTACCTTTTCGTGCCTATTAATTTTTCTGGCTTTTCCAACCCACTTTCAGGAGGTTTATGTGTGATTGATGTATGTGTGTACGTATCTTCTCCACATATATACATGTACACATACGTATACACTTTTTTAATGGACATTAGTTCTGATTCTCAGTCTTTTCTCAGAGATATTTTAGTTTTGAAATTAATATGCTCTTTTGTCTCCTTGTTTGCTTACCAGCCTCATCAGAGATGGCAGCAAAGCATCAGGAATAGCACTTAACTGTACATTCAGAGGCAAGAGGACTCTATATTTTGGTTTATGGGTTCTCCAAATTGGGCTGTCCTCAAATCTGCCTGTCATTAAGCAGATTTTTCTCAGAACCTTTTACTAGTTTTACACTGCCATTCACTCCTTATAGTAGAGGGAGTCTGGAAATTGAATTTTGTGCAGTTCTGTCATTGACTTATTTTTAATCTCAGATAAGGCACTTAACTTGGTTAAGTACTGTACTTTGCCTTTTGTTAATTGTAGAGATGAAAAGACATGTGTGCCTTACTTTAGGTACAAGAGATGCTCATTCAGAGTTGCACATGAATAGATTTTGACATATAAAATAATTTTTTTGTTTTAATTAGAACAAACTTTTATTATTAAAATTTTAAAAAATTTTTTGCTAATGGGATTTTATTTATTTATTTTAAGATTTATTTATTTGAGGGGGGAAAGGGCGAGGGAAAGAATCTAAGCAGACTCTGCTGAGTGCAGAGCCCAGTAAGGGGCTTGATATGGGGCTTGACTCTCTGGGCTCAGTCCCACGACCCTGAGATCATGACCTGAGCTGAAATCAAGAGTTGGATGTTTAACCTACTGAGCGACCTAGGTGCCCCTGTTTGTTTGTATGTTTATTTATAAGATTTTATTTATTTATTTGTCAGAACAAGCAGGGGGAGTGGCAGGCAGAGAGAGGGAGAAACACGCTCCCCTGCTGAGCAAGGAGCCCGAGGTGGGACTCAGTCCCAGGACTCTGGGATCATGACCTGTGCCGAAGGCAGACACTTAACTGACTGAGCCACCCAGGCATCCCTGTTTACTTTTAATTGAAGTATAGCAGATACACAATGTTACATTAGCTTCAGGTGTATAACAGTGATTTGACATGTGTTATGCTATGCTTCCCACGAGTGTAGTTACCATTTATCACCCTCCAATGCTTTTATAGTACTATAGACTATATTCCCTCTGCTCTACCTTTTATCCCTGTGACTTATTCATTCCATAACTGGAAGCCTGTATCTCCCACTCCTCTTCACCCATTTTGCCCATCTCCCACCTCGATACACAAGATAATTTTATTTTTTTTAAAGATTTTATTTACTTATTTGAGAGAGAGAGAGAGAGAGAGAGCAAGTGAGCATGGGGGGAGGAAGCAGAGGGAGAGGGAGAAGCACACTCTACACTGAGTATAGAGCCCGACGAGCTCCATCTCATGACCTGAGCCGAAATCAGACACTTAACTGACTGAGCCATGCAGGTGCCCCACACAAAATAATTTTATTTTTTAAAAGATTTTATTTATTTGAGAGAGAGGGAGTGAAAGAGTGCATGAGCGGAGGCAGGGGGAGGAGCAGAGAGAGGGAGAAGCAGACTCCTGCCTGAGCAGGGAGCCTGTTGCAGGGCTGGAGCCCAGGACCCTGAGATCATGACCTGAGCCAGAGGCAGACGCTTAACTGACTGAGCCACCCAGGAGCCCCCACACAAAATAATTTGAAATGAACTAAGATACCAATTATCTAAGGGAACTCTTGAGTTGAATCATTGTATAATATGAAGAATTGTTTTGTGATATAAACCACTACTTTTTAAGGAATTTGTTTTTAGCTTATATTTTCTTTTTTTGCTTTTCTTAAAAGTGAGGCCAATTATATATATCAGTAACTTCATTCATATGAGATTGAGGGACTTCCTATCAATGTTTAAACTCTTTAGGCAGTAAGTATTGTACACATATTACCATAAGTCATACCTAGTTTTCCCTTAGGTCTCATATAACCTGTCAGGGTCAGAGAGACACATAGTTTTCTTATTTTGGTTTCTTTCAACTTTTTTTCCTACAGAGATTTAAACTTAGTTTACACATTATTCTAGGAAAGACGTATAAACATTTATAAACATTCGGCAGCATATCATAAAAGGTCTTTCTTTACTTATTTTTAAGTTTAATTATGTTTCTATTGAAAGTGGAATTCTTTCATATTCATTTAATTCATATTTCATATAAATTCATATAAAATATATTTGAATTACTGCCTGATGATACCCACTAAGAGACCTCACTACCAAGTGCTCTGATTTTGGCAGGAGCATTCAGGAATGCTGTGCTATCTTTGTGAAAAGAAAACTTTACAGCTCTGTCCCCTCCCCTGCCCCACCTTGGATTGCTGACTATGCCATCCTGTTAGGAAGTCACTCAGTCTGTTTAGGATGATGGCATGTGATGTACCCAGGGGTCTTGCAGGAGGAAACTGTAAATAATTTTATAGCCCTAGTTAATGAGAGAGGAAAAAGCAGGCCCTTCAGGACTGAGGTTAGATAACTTTTATGATCATGACTTGCTGTCATTAGCTTGCTAATTAAGTCCAACTGTTTGCTGACAAAAACCACTCCTAAATGAGGTTGCAAAAGGTTTCCATAACATTACTGTTCCTTTTACTAAGAAAGTATAACTACTTCTCCATGAAGCCAGACTCCTGAATCTCTTTGTAAATATATAATTTAGAAGCTATGCATCTAAATTTTCCAGAAAATTTGAGTTCTCAGTGTGTTCTACATGGGTGAAATGCAGATTGAGTGTAGTAGTCCATCTTACCTATTTTGTTTTGTTTTATATTTCTGAAAGTTCTGGGAATCTGATACTCAAAATTACAGCATCTTTTTAGAGTTACTCACTTTGTTGAAGAAGCAGGATTATAGCCTTATGCCCACCTTGTATATGCTCCTAGCATTGTTTATTTCTAAGGAGCTAATGCTCTCTTTTCTCTATAGTTGACTATTTAATCTATTCACAGAAAGCTTAAAGACTTTTTATTATTACAGTAGTGCAGACAGTGAGTAGCTCTTATTTTCTAAGAGACTAAATGTCTTTTTTGGTAATATCGCTCAAGGAAACTTGACAAGGTTTTCTTTTCTTTTTATTGGTTTTATTAAACGATTCATGAATCAGGCAGGATCTCATGTAGCAAGTAGAAGGGGGTCCTGACAAAGACGCCTTTGAAGTTTATGCACTGTAAGCCTTTTTCCTCCAAGGTGGTAAAATCTGTGTGTATGAGCGTGTGTATTCATTTTTCAAAAAATTATAAGGTATTAAAATATAGTTAACACTAGAAATGTATTTAATCCCTCTTTGATGTTGAGAAGATACCTCAGTATCTTATAGGTACTTTATTTGCCCAACATAGGCCATTCATTGTATTTGTGAAGCACAGAAGTATCAGATGTACAGTGCATACAGTGTAGATAAGAAAGAACTTACTGGATTTGTATTCTAAGTTTCTTTTCCAGATTTGTTGTCCTTCTTTGACATAGAGTTACTGTCCTTTTTTTTTTTCTTTTAAGATTTATTTATTTTAGAGAGAGAGTGAGCACTAGTGGGAGGGGCAGGGGGAGAGGGAGGGAGAATCCCAAGCAGACTCTGCATGTGGGACTTGATCCCAAGACCCTGAGATCACAACCTGAGCTGAAACCAACAGTGGGTCTCTTAACCGACTATGCCACCCAGGTGCCCCTGTTCTTTCGTTATATTAAGTGACAGGTGTCTAGATCAGAAGTTGGCAGACTTTTTCTGTAAAAGACTAAGTAGATATATTAGATTTTGTGGGCTAAACGACTCAACTCTGCCATTGAAACTACTCAGCGCTGCCATTTTAGCACAAAAACAACCATAGAATACAGGGGAAAATGGGTGTGGCTGTGTTCCAATAAAACTTCATTTACGAAAACAGGAAGCTGGCTGGCTTTGGTCCATGAACTATAGTTTGCTGACTCCTGAGCTAGACTGTGAGGGACACCATCCTACATCTTCATATTGCTTTTCTGTGCTGTGCCTGGAACTTGTTCATAAATATTTGTTGAGTTAATGTTGAATGAATAGATGCTGCCTAAAGAATATATTAAAGAAAGGCATATCTTTGTTTAGGATGTATTTTCTATTTCATCTCCCAAGTTTTTGTCTTCTCTAATCATCCCTTTAACTTTAGAACTAACATTGGAGCGTTTTTGTTTTCTGTCAAAGTAAATATACTTTAAAACCAGAACTATGCTGAAAAGAAGCCAGATGGATTAACTGATGAATGATAAACAAATTGTGATACGTCCATACAGTGGAATACTACTACTCAGCAGTAAAAAGGAATGAAAGCATGGTTGCTTTTCAAACACATTATACTAAATGAAAGAAATCAGACACAAAAGATGGCACACTATATGATTTCATTTATGTGACATTCTAGAAAAGGGAAAACTATAGGAACATAGATTGGTCATTGGAAGGAGCCAGGCAGTGGGAAATTCACTGCAAAGGGGTACATAAGAATTTTGGGGGGGTGCTTAAAAATGTTTTGTATCTTTTTTTTAAAGGGTGGTTGGGAGGAGGGGCAGAGGGAGATGTAGAGAGAGAATCATAAGCAGATTCCACACACAGCACCCAGCCTGACACGGGGCTCCATCTCAGGACCCTGAGATCATGACCTGAGTTGAAATCAAGAATCGGATGCTTAACTGAGTCACCCAGACGTCCCAGAAATGTTTTATATCTTGATTGTTATGTGGTATAAATGATATAGTATATGGGTATTTAAAAAAATGATACTGTGTATAAATTATGTACATTTGCCCAAACTCATCAAACTATATACTGAAAATTGTGAATTCTGTTGTATATAAATTATGCCTCAGTAGAGCTTTAAAAGAATCAAACCAGATCTGTATTACCTCTGCAGTATCATACACTAAACTTTAGGGGAAATAAGTGTTTGTTTTTTTAACTATGAAAATACAAAATGAAAATTAATAACTTTTTAACTTTTTAAATTACAGAGACACAGCTAAGTTCTCCTGAAACGTTTGACCTTGAAAAAGAAGTCTCTCCAGGTAGCAGAGAGATCCTGGATGAAGTAAGAATAATAATGGCAGATAAGGAGGTAAATATTCTCTATAATTTTTCTTAGTGTTTTCTTTCTACTGATATTCCTCTCTCTGATGCAACATTGACCTTGGCTGAAAAGATTTAGATGGCAGGAGTTTGCAGTTTTGGAGACGCTTATGTCAGATTCTTACAGTTAAGTTCAGTTCAGCACTACAGTTAAGTTCAGTTGAGCATTGTTTCTAAAAATAGGAGTAGTTACCATTTCTTGATTTCTTAATATGCTTTATTATTTCTATTACAGATGGGGAAACAGAAGCTTAGGATGTTTAAGTCATTCACTCATACTCAAAATGCTAATAATGGTAGAACTAGAATTTGAACATGGATTTATCTCCAAAGTCTGGGATATTTTCTGTTATATTACTGATAAATAACAGAAATGAACAATCTTGGAAAAAGTCACTATATTTATATTATATGTAACTTACAGCTCTAATTTCTACATGGTATCAGAAATGCAAAGTCAGGATAGCAGCATGAAAAAATAAGCAGATTTTTATTGGCTTTTTTACCTTTCCTAATTTCACATATCTGGCATCATCCATAAAGGTGGTTGATACAAGTTTATACCTCTGATTAAGATTTTCAGTATAGGGTGCCTGGGTGGCTCAGTCGTTAAGCATCTGCCTTCGGCTCAGGTCATGATCCCAGGGTCCTGGGATAGAGCCCTGCATTGGGCTCCCTGCTAGATGGGGAGTCTGCTTTTCCCTCTCCCACTCCCCCTGCTTGTGTTCCTTCTCTCGCTGTGTCTCTCTCTCTGTCAAATAAATAAATAAATAAATCTTAAAAAAAAAAAAAAGGATTTTCAGTATATATTTATCATATTGAATCTTACAAAAACAGTTTACCACGAATTTTAAAAAATTATTCAGAATCTTTAAAATTTGTTGTTCTGAAAAGCAGCCTGAGAATTAAACAAATTTTTCTATGGAAATAAATATTTTGGTTACATTTGTATATGTTATCTTACCCTGAGCATTTAAAAATAAAGGTTTCATTCTCTTACTCCTTTTTATACTCTAGGTTTTTCGAAAACAGTTTTTACAATAGAAGGTAGATTCCTTCCCTAGTCTCTGCATTGCAGGTAGCTGGGTAGAAATTCTGCTTTCATGAATCATGCACACTGCTTGGTTCCTTGTAACCTGACCTGTCACAACTGACAGACCAAGATTCCCTGATGGTAACACTTCCTGCAACAGTGACTGAGGACAGATCCTGCTAGATAATGTTAAAATGGCTTCCCAGGGAGGGACCAGAACCTTCTAAATGGGGATGGGGAACAGAGTGTTATTAACATAGTCATCTTAACTACAGAGGCCCTACAATCTTTTTGTTAATGAAGGCTGATTTCTTACCCATCCGTGACTGCAAAGGAGACTGTTCTTTGTTTGGGGCAAAGAGCATGAACCCTATTTAGAATTTATAGTGTATATGTCTGTACCAGTACACATCAAAGGGATGGAATTATATGGCCTTTCTCACATTGAATGTCCTTTTTCAGTGTTGCTGTTTGCGGGTATCTGTGGATGTCTGTAAATAGTCTTAGAATTCTGTTTCCATTAAAAGATGTTAGAGATACTATAGTTTTTAAGTCATTGAGTAATCACTAGTTACAAGTCACTTATTGGAAAGGTAGAATCTGAACATTTTATGAGCACAAAGATAGTATCATCATGGGTGTGGACTCTTGATCTTGGAATCTGTGTATAGGGTCTTGTCCTAAAATTTCTTTTTTATTGGAAGGCGGTATGCTATAGTGCAAGGAGCTTGAGCATTGGAATTAGAAGAATCCCAACCCTGTCACTTAATTTTGTGACCTTGGGCAAATTAATTAATTGTTTTGTTCATTTCATATATTTGACAGATATTATAGTTTGTATACTGTGTGCCAATTGTTCATTTTAGACTCTTGAGGTACAAAGAACAACAACAACAAAAAACAGTTCCTGCCCTCAAAGGGTCCTGGTAAGAGAGGAGACAGATAGATAATTATAACGTGGTCTGACAAATAAAATGATAGAGAGATGTCTCTATCTATGTCTCTATGCATTAGGGAAGCATAGAAGAGGAATGCTTCTCTGAATGTCAGTTCTTCACATGTAAAATGGAGACAAAAAATAGCCTATTTTACTGAGTTGCTTCGAAGATTAAATTAGATAAAGAATATGAAACGCATAGCAGAGATTTGGCACAAGTAGAAGTATGCCTGTGGAACCAGTTCTTATTTTACTGCTTTGTAATATATTGTGGCTGTTCAGTGATATTAGCTTACTAATGACAGAGAATTGCTCAACAGTATTTGAGTTATTTGGAATAGCATGGCAGAACTGTAATCCTTAATTTGATTTCCTGCAGTGGTCAGGTTCCTTTGGAAATAGTATTTTCTGAATATCTTTCCTGAGATAATCCCTTGGTTGGAGATACTCTTTTCTCAGAAAAGTTAATAGAAGTTATTCAGAATCAAACAGTTGGTTTAGTCAGTTGGTTTTTAAGTAAACTGTGTTGAGTCCTATGGAAAGAGGGGAAAGATCTAATGAGCTTTCTAAGCTGCACATAAACTGGGTTGGGGAGGGACAGAGGGCTGGTGATTTGTAGGACATACTTTTATTTTTACCCAGTTCATTTCTTGAGGTGAGGTTTCTTTTGAGGCCAGAAGGTAAGGACCAACCTTTAAGAGATCAAGATTCAGTGTCCAAGTACCTCTTTTGAAAAATGACTGTATAGTATTTTAAAAGAAGTAGAACCAGCTCTTCAGAGACTGAATCCCTGACTGCATGGTCCTAATAAAAGCTGCTTCACTTATATTTTTTCCTCTTGAAGTTCCTCTATTGTAGTTAATATTTAAATAGAACTTTTAAATGGTGCTGAAAAAAATCTTACTTTATATAAAAATGTTCAGAAACCTCTGGGTTGTCTATGAATGTGATTAGAAGTGGTCTTGTATTCACAATAAGACAATAGTAGACTACTCCCTCTTGAATACATTAATAGTTGAAGGTACATTCTGTGCATTTTATAGAGCTGGTGATGAATACAAAGGAGTACAGTGCTGGGTGTGAGCAGCAGTGACATTCATGTCATATAACATTTCTGGGCTCAGTGAACTTTAGAATACCAAGTAACTGCTCCATTGCCATTAACTTTCAGTAACTCAAGACTACTTGCAAATTTTAGGGTATATTGATTTTTCTCCCCTCTGTTCAAATGGCTTTGCATGCACAAGACAACTTTTTCTTATAAGATTTATGAACAGAAGAACCTGGGTTTATGAGAAACTAAGTGACTAAGCTTGAAATAAGTAACACCTAGAACTTCCAGACACACTTGACTCTCTCCACCTTCTAGAGAAGAATAATAGAACCAGATTGTCTCCCAATATCTGGCAGGGTCAGCAACAAAGTAGAGAGGATGCCTTTTTTGCTTTTGCCGCAATTTGGTAGAATAGAAATACTGAAGTTTTGATGCCACAGAATCTTGGGTTCAAGTCTAGATTGTCCAGTTACTAACTTTGTGATCAGCAGGTTACTTTGCCTTTTAAACAAACATCAGTTTCCTCTTCTGTAATACTAGACCTAGTGATCCCTCTGCCAGTTGGGTGGTTGTGAGTGATGGTTATGGAAAATGCTTGGCCAAGCCTGGTATAGAAAATGAACTGAATCACTGTTAGTTCCTATTTCATCTTTCTTTTTTTCCCCCCTTTTAAGTAAAAGGCCACAGGTGGGTTGAAAATGACATTTTCTGGCAGTTGTAGAAACTGTTCGACTTGGTATTTAGATGGCCTGTTTCCCTCTGTTGGATCACATTCACAAGCAGGAGATTTTAGGGATGGCCTAAACCAAAAAAAACAAAAAAAACCAAAAAAAAACCCAAAAACTCCAGAGCTCAAATTATCTACCCGTTGCAGTTTTGGTCTTGTTTTGATGTTGTACCAGAAGAGGGTTTATTTTTTCCCTGTAGTAAGGCATAATAACAGCCCAGGTGTCCTTTGCTCTTAAATGGAAGCAGTGGCTATGCGGGACAGTTTCACATTGATTGGTTAGGACATGCTGTCCTTTGAAGCAAGTGTTAGGCAGTAGTGCTGCAGTGCTCACGCATACTGTTGAATTAATCACTGCAGAGTTCTTGGCTCTGACCTGTAAAGGTAAAATAAAACTGCTTCTCAGACACTGGCAACTGTAGGAAAAACGGTGATTATAAAACACTGAAAGGAATAGGAGAGAGAAGGTGTAAGAATGGCTTCTGCAGAATTGTCTTAAGGACTTTTATTTGAGCCTGCTTAAATATTTGGGTCTTAGTTCTGTTTTGTTCCCTCTTTTAATCTAAAAGTCACAGATAAAACAGAAGAGGTGGTATGTCTTACTGGTCTAAGCTGAGGTCTAGGTCTTAAATTTTAGTTGTGCTTTTGCTTAGAACTCTTGTTTCCTAACTCCTTATGTCTGAAGTCACTGGGAATACTCACAGTTCTTTTATGAGATTGAAAAAGTTTCTTTGAGATGCTGTTGATATGTAAATTGTTTGAAACACAGCAGACACAGCATACTGACCTAAGAGCTTGATAGAGAGGAATGCCCTCAAGTTTTGGAGCTAAATAGTCCTTGATTTGAATTTCAGCTCTGCCTCTTATTTGTTATGTAACTTTGGGCAAGTTGCTTTACTGTTTTGGACAATGCTTTCTTCGTGTGTAAGAAAGGTTATGTTAATAATTTATAAGTTTACTATGAGGATTAAATGAGTATTACATGCAGAGTGTTTAGCATATAGTATGCAGGTTCTGAATAACTGTTAACTATATTAGCGTATCTCCCAATTTTCAGATCTGAATTTAGCAAACTGATTGGTATCCTCTCTCTCCCCCTCTCTATCTCTTTTTTCTTTTTTTGAGAGAGAGAACATGTGGTGGGGGTGGATCAGAGCTGGCTGGGCTGGGCAGGGCAGGGCAGAGGGAGAGGGAGAATCTTAAGCAGGCTTCATGCCCAGCGCAGAGCCTGATTTGGGGTTCAGTGTCACAACCCTGAAATCATGACCTGAGCCGAAATCAAGAGTCAGAGGCTTAACCTACTGAGCCACCCAGGCACCTCAGTATTGCCTCTTTTGGAAAGTAAATGAGGGCGCCTGGGTGGCTCAGTTGATTAAGCGACTGCCTTCAGCTCAGGTCACGATCCTGGAGTCCCGGTATCGAGTCCTGCATCGGGCTCCCTGCTCATCAGGGAGTCTGCTTCTCCCTCACCTCTTGTGCTCTCTCTCTCACTCTCTCTCTCAAATAAATAAAATAAAATCTTAAAAAAAAGTATATGTTTAAAAAAAAAGAAAGTAAATGAAATATGGGATGGAATCTCTTGCAGTTGTTTGAGGGAAAAGATATTTTATATTGTAAAGGTATTACAGTTGCTATTTATTATTTTCTTCAGGTTGGTAACAGGGGAAATGCTGAGAAGGAAATACCTATTTCTACAGTCTCATCCAGTACCCAGGTGTCCTGCCCACTATGTGACCAAGGCTTCCCACTCACAAAGATTGAGCTACATGCCATGTACTGCAATGGGCTGATAGGGCAAGACACAGGTAAAACTTACCAGAATTTATCAAACTCTTTTCTTTGCATGGTAGTTTTGTAATCCTGTACAATGCAGTGTAGGAAAAACAGACCACTCTTCCTTAAAGTTGTTGGGTTGGTTGGTTTGTTTTTCTTTCTGCTATCTACTTAATTCTCCAGTACTTTTCATGTTCTTTATTACTTTGGCAGGTATGCTATTTTGTTGCACATAGTCAGGAGAAAGGGAAGGGAAAAATCTTTGTCTTTTAATGTTTCAACTTACACTGTGGTATATTTAGGCCAAAAATCAGTGCGATGCTATGGACCTTGTGTTTCATCTTACATATTCAAATATTGAGACTCCTATGGAACTTGAGGAAATAGGTTCTAGAGTTGCTCATTTTTTTCAGAATTGTAGTTGACATACAATGTTATAAGAATTACTCATTTTTTATTCAAGGTAAGTCCCTTGTGGGGTTTTGTGTGTAAAAGTTCTACCTTAAAACTGCAGCTAAAAAGTATCCCTAATTTCAATTCATGTCCTATATTCTGTGCTGCATCACCCTGGAACTATTGGTTACCTCTTGAAGAGAACATCTGAGACTTGGAAGCCTGTATATTCTTGGCACTGTATGTCTTGTAGCTCTGATCCAGATGTCTCAGACCTCCATGCAAAGATGTCTGCTATATCCTGAATGACAGTAACACTTTCTTATTCTTTTTTGTAAAGATTTATTTATTTATTTATTTATTTTAAAAAGATTTTATTTATTTATTTGACAGAGAGACACAGTGAGAGAGGGAACAAGCAGGGGGAGTGGGAGAGGGAGAAGCAGGCTTCCTGCGGAGCAGGGAACCCGATGCGGGGCTCGATCCCAGGACCCTGAGATCATGACCTGAGCCGAAGGCAGACTCTTAACAACTGAGCTACACAGGCGCCCCAAGATTTATTTATTTATTTTAGAGAGAGAGCAGGCGCTCACCTGAGGTGGAGGGGAGGGGCAGAGGAAGAGAATCCTCAAGCAGACTCTGCAGTGAGCTTGGAGCCCAACTCAGGGCTCGATCCAGTGATCCATGAGGTCACCACCTGAGCCGAAACCAAGAGTTGGACACCCAACTGACTGAGCCTCCTAGGTGCTCCAACACTCTTTTTTTCATAGGGGAATTTGCTTTAAAAATTAGTTCAGGAGTATAATAAAGACAAATCTAGAATACTATAAATTTCAACACCAGCTTGTCTACCTAGAGTGAGAAATTTGATTCCTTTCTATCACCTATTGCCTTCCTCCTCAACGTTAATTAATCCAGATACTTACAGAACATTTTTTTTTCTTAATGGTGCTAAAACTTATGTGGGTTACTAAAGAAGTTTAAGACAGAATTTCTGCCATTAAGGAGTTTGCAGTCTCATTGGGGAGATAAACATTAACCTAAGAAATTAATTAACAAGGGGCGCCTGGGTGGCTCAGTCGTTGGGTGTCTGCCTTCGGCTCAGGTCATGATCCCAGGGTCCTGGGATTGAGCCCCACATCGGGCTCCCTGCTCCGCAGGAAGCCGGCTTCTCCTTCTCCCACTCCCCCTGCTCTCTCATTGTGTTTCTCTCTGTCAAATAAATAAATAAATAAAATCTTTAAAAAAAAATTAGCAAGATATGACACAAAGTCAATGATAATTTACCCAAATGAATGATTCTGACTGTAAGTTCAGTAGGAACTTTAGCCTGGGCTGGGAAGGCTGGATGGGTTTGGATAAACCATTGGGAAAGTAGGATGCCCTGTATCCTCCTATAGGTTAGACAAGATAGGAAGCAAGGGAAACAACTACTAAACAACAGCTTCCACTTAATTTTTCTAGTAGTGTTAACTTGCTAACCTGAATTACTCTCTATGACCTTATAAGAGAATTTGGAGCAGGGAGTCCCCCTGGAATTGTCCCACTCTGCTTTATTCCTGTGTCCTAGGAACAGAGTTTGGAGCTATAGGTGGGGTAGGGAAGTAGTTAGAGGAATTATGTAAAGCACCTACTAGTGTGCCATGTTCTTTCCATATCATACCAAAAATAAGTTTGCTATCTTTGTTTTTTTCACCAGCTTGCCTGTCCCTGTCTTCTTTGCCAGAGATAGTAGTGATTGTTCTGGTTCCTCTCACATTTTATGACTGGAATCAGACAAGCCCTCAGCCTAGTTTTTGGTAAAAGGGAGCCTCTCCTGCTATGGAAGGGAAAGAGTTATTCTTGAAAATGCATAACCCAGACTGAGAGACTGTTAGCCCAATGCCTAAGGGGATGGAATAAGAGAGAGGACTTACCTCCCAGAGTTAAGTATCCAGCTCTCCCCTCTTTCCTGTTTTCCCCCAAATCTAATCCTAGACATGCTTGGTTTGGCTGTGTAAAAGAAATAGTAATTAGAGTCATTTACATGAAGTGTCTACCATTTATGCCTAGTTACCATGCAGCACAATAACAATTATGCATATCATTAAATATGTGTCTGATTAACTTTGCTGTAAGTTTTATTTGATTATAATACTACACTCTGGGTAAGTTGGCTCAGTCTGCTCAGTTTGTTGCTCAGTGACATGGCTATCCACAAGTATGGAAAATTAGAGGGGGTTGCATTGTTTGAGGGGAGAAGATTCGCTAAATTAATCTAGACTAGGACAAAGGCAGGTTGCCTTTGTATTTGCTTTCTGGAAAATGTGTTTGAGACCATTTTTATTTAAACACTTAGGAAGAATGAAGCTCTCCATTTACTCATTCAGTAAATATTTACTAAATAACTGCTATATACCAAATACAGTGAACAGAATATACAAAGTTCCTGTTCTCATGGAGTTTATATTCTAGCAGTGGGATACTGACAATAAATAAATAAACATACAATATGTTAAGCGGTGATAAGTATTTTAGAGAAGAAAATAAAGCAGAGGAAGAGGAGGTTAGGGAGTACTGAGGTCAGGAGGTAGCAATTTAGAATAGGTGGTCAGGGAAGGTCTCATTGAGAAGGTGACATCTGAGCAGAGACCTAAAGGAAGTGAGGGATTTCAAGGTGGAGAGAAGAGTGTGTTACAGGCAGAGGGAACAGTAAGTGCAAAGACCTTTGGTTGTGAACAGGCTTGATGTGTATGAGGAATGACAAAGAAGCCTGTGTGGCTGAAGTAAGTGAGGGAAAGATAAACAATGAGATTAGAGAGGTAATTGGGGAGGGGATAAGTGGACAGATCACACAGGGTTCTTAGGCCATAGTAAGGATCTTAGCTTTTACTCTGAGCAAAGGGGGAACCAGTGGAGGGATTTGAGCAAAGAATGAATTAATATTTGAGTAAAGGATCACTCTGCGCTATTATAGATTGTTGGGGTGGGGGACAACAGTGGAAGCTGGGAGAACAGCCAACATTTTATTTTTGGCAGTATGATTGAGCGGGAGAAACACAGGCTTTGGAACTAGACAGATCTGAATTTAAATTTCAGCTGTAATACTTGTCAGCTGGATAATATTTAACAAATGACCTTACCTTTTTGAGGATCAGATGCCTTGTTTGTAAAATTAGTTCATTATTAGGATTATCATGAGAATCAGAGACACTTTAGGGGCACCTGGGTGGCTCAGTTGGTTAAGTGTCTGCCTTCAACTCAGGTCATGATCCAGGAGTTCCAGGATTGAGCCCTGTATTGGGCTCCCTGTTCAGCGGGGAGTCTTTTTCTCCCTCTCTCTGCTCCCCCCCACCCCATACTCTTTCTCTCACTCACTTTCCCTCTCAAATAAATAAAATTGTAAAAAAAAAGAATCAGAGACACTTTATAAAGTACCTAGCACTGTGTCTAGCACGCAATAAATGTTCAGTAAATGGTAGCTGCTGTTATTATTGAATATTATTCCTGCCTGTGTAGTCTTTCTGAACTCTGTGTTTGTATGCCAATACATAAAGGATAAGCCATCAGTCAGGTAGAGCTAAGGGGAGGATGAAAGGCAAGGAAATGGTAAGGTGGTAAGAATAATAAGCTAGTGAGAAATAGATTGTAGGAGAGTTAGGGAAGCTGAAGGCATTAACTGTGTACACTTTGGGCCTAGATACAGGGGTGTGGCTTAGAGTCAGGATACTGTCAAGAATGGATTTCTCTTCATGGATATCTCCTGGAAAAATAATAGTGGGTAAGTAGGTGGTTGGAGGTGAGAGTCCTTGCTATACAGACTTGCCTGACAGCTAACAGAGAAGGACTGAGGCCTAGAATAGGCTTGACTTGGGTGACTCAGCAAAAATCTTAAGACCTGAATATCTGTAATGAAAAAATTTTTTTAGGGGCACCTGGGTGGCTCAGTCGTTAGGCTTCTGCCTTCGGCTCAGGTCATGATCCTGGGGTCCTGGGATCAAGCCCTGCATCGGGCTTCTCTGCTCAGCGGGAAGCCTGCTTTTCCCTCTCCCTCTCCCTCTCCCACTCTCCCTGCTTGTGTTCCTGCTCTCGCTTTCTCTCTCACTGTCAAATAAATAAATAAAATCTTTAAAAAAAAAAGAAAAAAAATTTTTTAATTAGACAAAATTTAACTTTTTCTGTTTTATATACCTGAGTTTATCTACCTGACTGTAGTTTGTGCCCCACTTAGTCTTCTCACTTGTGTTAATATGGCTTTTGTGGTACCTAAGGAGGATTAGATTAACTGTATTGCTCTTGACACCTAACTACTGATGTGTTAACAATTGGGAAATAGCATGGGTTTAGTAAAAATAACATGGATTTTGGAGACAGAGGCCTGTGGGGAGATATACAAATCCAAACATACTGAGATTATAGTGCAGTTGGGCAGAAAAGGCATGCACATGAATAACTGTAACACAAGGTTAGAATTACTAATGGACATACAGTCTGTGGTGTTTCAGAGGAAATGTGATTAGAGATTAAGGTGGAAGGGCATTAATGTAAAAGAACAGTAGGCAAAATCACATAAATAGAAAAATATGAACAATATACAGGAAAGAACAAGTGATTCAGTGTGGTTGTAGTATGGGCAGTATGAAAGGAAATAGGCAATTGT